ATTAGAGGTGTCTTTCAAAACGGAAATAAGTGATCGTTTAAAAAACTATCATTTTGAATAAACTGAACTTGACTGCGTTACTTATATAAGCTGAAACGTGTGTGTGTGTGTATCTGTTTGTGTGTGCGTGTGTGTGTGTGTGTCTGTTTGTGTGTGTGTGTGTGTGTATCTGTTTGTGTGTGTTTGTGTGTGTGTGTATGTTGTGTGTGCGTGTGTGGTGCGAGTGTGTGTATCAGTTTGTGTGTGTGTGTGTGTAAGTGTGTGTATCTGTTTGTGTGTGTGTTGTGTGAGTGTGTGTATCTGTTTGTGTGTGTGTGTGTGTGTGTGTGAGTGTGTGTATCTGTTTGTGTGTGCGTGTGTGTGTGTGTACTGTTTGTGTGTGCGTGTGTGTGTGTATCTGTGTGTGTGTGTACTGTTTGTGTGTGTGATTGTGTGTGTATCTGTTTGTGTGTGTTTGTGTGTGTGTGTCTGTTTGTGTGTGTGTGTGTATGTGTGCACTGGTGTAGAAGTGTGCATATACACAGGTATGATTGACGTATGTATACCATATACAATTATTACGACCATACACATGTATATGAAACATTATTACCTCTTTGTTTATGTATAAAAAAACACTCACCTAACCAAAGCAATAACAAATCAACAGATAAACTCATTCAGAAAAAAAAAAAAAAACCGAATCAACAGATAAACTCATTCAGAAATAAATAAAAAAAATAATACCGAATCAACAGATAAACTTATTCAGAATAATAATAAAAAAAATAATACCGAATCAACAGATAAACTTATTCAGAAATAAATAAAAAATATAATACCGAATCAACAGATAAACTTATTCAGAAGTTATATAAAAAATAATACCCTCCCCGCCCGCCGCCCGCAGATCAAAAGTACTCCGACGAGGGAGGCCGCCCGCGCCCCGTTCAGATACGCGTCTCGCGGGCGGCCGGGGGAGAGACCAAGTCCTTTTTCGGAGACCATTTCGGGAGAGTTGTGTTGGCCAAGTTTTTCTCGAGGCTTTTATTAAGTTTTTAAGTTTATTGTAGGCGACACAAAGAGACCTGGCGGTACCACTTGGAGCGAGGAGTCCGCCCTGGCGATTCTCTCTCGCGTTTTGTATACTGGATGTGTGCGAATATCTGTATATATCTGTATATGTATACATATATGTATAGATATGTGTGTGTGGTGTGTGTGTGTATGTGGTGTACATATGCATACACACACACACACACACACACACACACACACATACACACACACACACACGCATATATGTATATATGTGTGTGTATATATTTGATATATATATATATATATATATATATATATATATATATATATATATATATATATGTATAATATATATATATATATATATATATATATATATATATATATATATATATATATATATATATATATATATAGGCGTGTATGCTTGTGTGTGTGTGTGTGCGTGTGTGTGTGTGTGTGTGTGTGTGTGTGTGTGTGTGTGTGTGTGTGTGTGTGTGTGTGTGTGTGGTTGTGTGTGTGTGTGTGTGTGTGTGTGTGTGTGTGTGTGTGTGTGTGTTGTGTGTGTGTGTGTGTGTATGTGTGTGTGTTATGTGTGTATATATTGATATATATTTATCTTTATAAATAAATAGATAAACAGATATAGACACAGACATAGATGTAAATGCAGTCAAATATTCCTACACACGCAGATATCCACCCACGTCTCCCACACCCATCCATACAGATCAGCACATGCATCCCTTCAATCACTCACCCACGCTGACACCCCCGTCTTGACCCACCCACATGCCGACTTCATTACAACTAGGGGTATGGGCGCCTAATCCCACGCCCGTGACAATCAGCTGACTGATCCCCTGATATAATATCTTTTATTCATTTCGACCAGCGAGCCAAACGGACTCTCGACGACTGTATAGTTAGCCGTGACACGCTTGGACCGAGGCAAGGAAGGGGCTGTGAGAAGGGGGGTGGGGGGAGGGAGGCGAGGGAAAAAATGAAGTGGAGGAGGGAGGGGGGGGGAGGGGGAAGTGGCGTTGGGTTTCTATAGAGTCATGGTTTTAAACGGTATATCCCACGCGGTTATCGTTCGTTGTTCGGGGTGTGCAGAGAACTTGAGAGAACATTTAAAGATCCCGAGAACAAAGTACACGAAGAATCATAAATGATACACATATCAGAAGTGGAACGAGAATGGTCACAGAAATACACCTTACATACTAGAACAACCTAGATAACACGTACGGGGGAGTAAACATTATCTACTACGCAATGGTAATATGATAGAAATGAACGCAATAGAGAAAGGGAAAGGGAGAGAAAGAGAGGAAAGAGAGAAGAGAGAGAGAGAGAGAGAGAGAGAGAGAGAGAGAGAGAGAGAGAGAGAGAGAGAGAGAGAGAGAGAGAGAGAGAGAGAGAGAGAGAGTCAAAGACAGGCCAGAGAAACAAAGACGGAAACAGAGAGAGAAAAAGAAAAAGAGACTAAAAAAGACAGAGAGAAGGAAAAAAAAAAAAATAGATCTAAACAGAGACAGGGAGCAAAATCCGCGGAGCATAAGACGTAGGTCAAAAAGGTCAACAAGAAGAACAAGAAAGGGGTCGACGAGAACGGGGTCGGGAACACCAGAGCTACACAGCAGGGAACACAACAGAAAAGGAACAGAATACACTATGCTGAATATATCACAAGACGTGGATTGCGCCGGACACAATACTGTACAGGGGATAAAGATCGATGCTTAGCAAGGATAGCAGCATAAGTCGGAGGTACACAGGTCTTATAATGCACATAGAAAAAAAGTCACAACGAAAGTGTATCATAACAACTACAGTAGCTAGAGCCTGAAAGAAAAGGGACATAGGCCTTATAACGCACAAAAAAGGTCGTAGATAGAGAGAGAAAAAATACAACAAAATGTACACAACAACCAATGAGGGGACACAGACCTTAGGAGGACACGGACAAAAGGGGGACACGTAAAGGAAACCCATGTTTAGGACACACAGGAAGGGACCACGTGAGGAACGACCCATGTTTAGGACACGGATACAGGAAGGGGACACGTGACCCAGGAACGACCCATGTTTAGGACACGGACACAGGAAGGGGACACGGGCGTAGAGGGACACGCAAGGACACAAAGTGACAGGTGCTATGTGTAGTTGAGCGTGAGAAGTTAACTCAGCTTTACGGCTCTCTCTCTCGCCTTCTATTGATCTCGGGAGTGTAATGATCACGCCCACCGCCCACCACGCCCACAGATGTCACCACGCCCACGCCCACGCCCGTTCACCACGTCCGTAGATGTCATCACTCCCTCAAAAACGCCCATTCTTCACGCCCATAGATGTCATCACTATTTCAAAAACGCCCGTTCTTCACGCCCACAGATCTCATCACTCTTTCAAAAACGCCCGTCCTTCACGCCCACAGATGTTAGCACATTCACGCCCGTTCACCACGCCCACCTTTAACCAATAGATCCGCGCCAGTCCAACACGCCCATATGAGTCACCACACCCCACTCACTACGCCCGCAGATGCCGTTATATATCATCGCGCCCACATATGTCATCACACTCATACCCACGCCCGTCTGACACGCCCACAGATGCCACCACGCCCATAACTGTTTCCTCATACTCTTAGGATATATGTGCGTATCTGCCCACGCCCGCAAATGCTCCCACGCCACCTAGCCGTCCACTAAACCCACATCCACACTCGGCCACAACGCCCACGCTCACTACACCCGCGGGTTTCACCACACTCACGCCCATTCCTGTCAACTGCCTGTCATCACACCCACACTTGGTCATCGTCCTGTTACCACACCCATTTCTGTCCTCCATCGCCACATGGCACACACACACTGAACATACACGTGCAAACATACACACACATACACACCTCACACAACACACACACACACACACTCGTCTCTCCCTCTTTCTCTCACTCAATTTCTCTCTCTCTCTCTCGCTCACCACGGACACACACCGTCACCACACCCACGCCCGTACCCCCCCCCCCCCCCACCTGTCATTAACCCACCTCCGGCCAGTCAGCACGCCAGCCCTGTCACATTGAACCCTGCCACCTATGCCAACCCTGCCCCCTGCCACCGAAACCTGCCGCTCCGTCCTTGACAACGAATAAGTTGCAATGTTGCATGTCCTGCTCGCTAGCGTTCTGTCAACGTGTGCTTGTGCATCCAGATTTATTGCATGCAGTCAGCGCTGCACACGGTAACGCGCTGGGAGTGTGCTACACGTGTAACACGCTTAAAGCACAGCACAGGCAACTGCGGAGTGTGTGACGGAGTGAAGGAACAGTTAGTGTCACGGTGTTCAAACGCTGTTCCATCCCCTTTACCGTGAGCATGAGGCGGGGTGTGTGCTGTCAGTGCATGTTGTTCATAACAAGCTACTCACGGTATGTTCTTCACAACATAGAGCGCTCGCGAGA